AATAGCCATTGTCTGTACTTTGAGGCATAACCAATTGTGAAATAACACTTACTACCCAGGAACACATTTTTTTTGTTACACAGTGTTATGAGTTGTAAAGTATTATTGTCAATCAATAGAACAGATGCAATTATTGTTTATTCAATACAACAGTCTTTAAAATGGCAGTGTACTAACTTTTTGCCCACACCACATATACCGTATATTAAAATCCTGCGCTCATAATAAAAAATAACCTTTCAATCCACTGCTGATGCGAGATTGGTGAAAATGGATCTAGAACTGGTTTAGCTATCACTCACCTCTCATGTTAGCGGTGGCCTGGAATCAAACTGGGGTCACCAATGTGCCACCACTCGATCCTAAAGCACAGTACAGTATGTTGCTGAGTGTTACGTAAGCTATAATATGATTTATATCAGCGATTACATTATTCATAGCCATGGTGTATGCTTCATGTCGTCGCAGCATGACCGTATATAGCACAAGAGAAGGTTAATATATGTCAGTAAATGATGACGAAACAACACTCAAATTATTTAAAATAACATCGTGGAATTATATAACATGCTGAATGTGGCTTTTTGTTTTTGTTGCGAGTTTCTCTCCAAAGACTCGAGCTACTTCAAGCGAGTCTGTGGCAAGGCTTGTTTATCAAAAGAAGAGTCTCTGCTGTGACTACGATGGCATTGGTTTGGAAAAAAATATTAAATCCATTGCAATATAGTACGGTAACCTGTTTAAGGTCGTAATAAAAAATGACTTTAATAAAAAATAGTGCCGCTAATTGAACCTTCATCAGCAACACTCTTGGCAACATTATCACTCATTCATATTGCATCACGTATCATCTTGCGATAGTCAAAACACCTCATTAATGCTTGCATCATCGGTACTATGCAATCCGCCTCCATAACCCCCCACCATCTGCTGGAATAATGTCGATTAGACAAATCCTTCTCATGCTTTTGTTCCTCTCTTTGTGCAACGCAAACAAGCACGTGGCCGTGAGGTTGTTTTCTTAATGCGATAGTGAAAATCATAATCACAATTTATAACCTGCGCATATTTCACAGATCGAACGCATTTTCTCGAACGAGAACTTGGAAGCGCAGAGCCAGAGCTCAGTCCCTTGAATTCCGATTTGAACGGGCGAGGGCCTGGACGGGCGAGGGCATGAACTCGTGGGGGCATGAGCTGGTGAGGACCTTGAGCTGCTGGTTCAAGGTGGATGGTGATGCATGGATGCTACTGCCAGTGTACAGCGGTGGTGGAGAGTTTCAGACTGCTGCTGCTGCTGAAAGTGCAGCTACGGAGAAATGCGGCTCAGTCAGGACAGTCCTGGTTCTGAGTACGGTGGGTAGATTATTGGCCGTACTCTGAATAAGAAGAGAACTCCGTTCGGCTAGAGCTCTCTTGCAATCGAGTGCAGCTATTGGTATGCAGCGTGCATGCCAATTGCGTTAAGTAGCACACGAGTTGATCAGTAAGTGCCAAATAAGATGACGTGAGATATTTGAAATTTAACCGAGTGGCTTTCACAGGACTGTTTTTTTTCCACCTCTTAAAATCTGACACTTTTTTTCTGTCCACTTTGCCTTGACGACATGCCATGGCTTGCCCTAACCTGGCTTGACCTGCTTTCTTTTTTGCATTTGTGAGACCTTGCCGTTTTTATTTAGCCCTCTCCATGTTTACGTGGACAGCGAGAGGGCTTTTGGTGACTGATGCTCGTCAGAATCAGCATCGTCATTCAGACTGCAGGAGGAGGAATCCGATGAGCTATGAAGCTCTTTTTCACAGATGTCCAGTTTGGGCGGGTCAGCAAGTTACAACAACAAACAATACAAACACGATAGGAGTGGAAAATAGTGAACATGGTAAGCAAGTCACTACATATAAATGAGTAATACGTAAAACGTATCAAGGCGTAAGAAACGGCAAAAACGGTCTCAGACCACGCCAAGACAACGCACAGCAGAAGCCCCTCAATTAAACAGCACGGTAACATTTGACTATCGCTACGACACAGGTAATGATCAAAGCTACGAATGACGTGTGTGAACGTGACATTACTGGCGCGTCCCCGTGGCGGCATTGATTAAACATTCACGTTGCGGCTCGGTTGGCACGGGCCCTGGTCTCAGGAATGATTTGCCTGTGCGACGCAGTTTATTTTGCGCCAATTTCTGTTTGCATCGTCACTGTGACTTCACTCGTTTTTATTTTGTCGTTTTTGGTGACCCAGGTCACTTGCAAACGAGAGTCACCTGGGTTCTCCCCCCGAGTTATTATGATTATCTGGACAAACAAACACAACTTAAATTAATTGGGGTCTTCCCCCGCTGGCTAATCTCGCATTCTCCCCCTCTCTGGCCGTTAGCCCGGGGTGCAGTCGCACCGCCTGCAAACTGAATTCCTCGCCCACAGCAGCAAACACAGCGGGCTGCCCTCTCGGCCGTCCTGCGCATGGCATGGCTTGGAGGGGTGAGAGAAGTTCAGAAAGAGAATCGCGCACGACAAGCGCGATGCTTTTACATAGGGCCCAAGTCTCAGGAGTCCCGCAACTTTGAAAGCCATTTTGTTGAGGAGAGTGGAAGCCATTATGGAAGTGGTTGGGGGAGGGATGCTGTAATTGCCTCATTGCTGCTCCCTAAGCTGTTTCCTGCTAGGGTCCAGAAATGTTGAACACGTGTGCACTCAAAAGAGTCTCCTTGTTGCTTTTCAGGGCCTGAGCACACAGATCAATATGTCGATTCCTTCCAATGCCGTCCTCTCTTTGAGTCAACACTGGCCGCTCGCCAGGGACGACGGCAGCGCCGCGTGTGTGCGTGTGTGCTTCCCCGAGACCCCGCTCTGTATTCAGGGGTTGGAACACGCGTGTGTGCGGCTTGGCCAGCAACACGCGTGTGTGCTTCCCCGAGACCCCGCTCTGTATTCAGGGGTTGGAACACGCGTGTGTGCGGCTTGGCCAGCAACACGCGTGTGTGCTTCCCCGAGACCCCGCTCTGTATTCAGGGGTAGGAGCACGCGTGTGTGCGGCTTGGCCAGCAACACACGTGTGTGCGGCATGGCCAGCAACACGCGTGTGTGTGCGGGCGCGCGCTACGACGTTTGGCTCTCACTCTTAAGAGATCCGCGGGCTTTCTTGCCTTTAATTGCGCGCGATATGTTATTTTACAGCAATTAAACGGATGGGGAGGGGGGCAAGAAAATTGTAATTTACCACCCCCTATCATTGCGTGCGGCTGTTTGCCCTCACCGCACAGCAATTCCTTTGCTCCCTCGGAGGTGACACATTCAGGGTTGGCTTTCCTTAAAAATGTTTTGCATCGCCACGGCTGAGTGTTGGTGGTGGTGGTTGTTGTTGTTGAAGCAACGAGTGGAGGATGGGCCAGGCTTTACAGTTTCCCATAAATAAAGGGATTGGACTTGGAAACCGTGTCACATTAATTTCTTCCAATAATATATGGGATACTTTAGGGTTTTGCATTATTCAGCCACCCATCTTGCACGTTGAAAGGTTGTAAATTACCCCAACTGTATCATTTTTATCATCGCGGACGTGATGTATTAAGTATTCAAATGTGTGACTTATTGTCAAATAACGTAAATTTAAGGTGAGCAGAATATTATTACACCAGTATTTAAAATTCAGTTTTGTGTGTGTATATCTTTGTCGAACGCGTGCTAATCCCTAAGACACGGGCCCGATGCATATGTAGGATGGCGCTTGCTATTACTGTACGCAGGGCTGTCTGTACGCCAACTTACATTTGAATTATTTCAACGCGCTATTTTTTTCTTTTCTTTTTAAAATGGCAGTGCAAGAGCATTATGCATAATTGAATCTGCTAAAGCTTGGCCCAATATTGTGATCTGCTAATGAGATGTGGAAGCCTGCAGATTGGAAAGGGAAGTTTTTGTATGAATGCAAGCGAGAGTGGTTCGGCAGTGCATCCTCAAGATCCTGTTTATTTTAGCTCAGTATGTTTCGTAGTGTTAAATATACACACACACACGTGTCCTACAAAAAATGCAGGGACCTACACGGTGCAAATCCCCCCATTGTGTTATATTTAGATGGTTTCCAGGTTACCATACACTGCTAAATCGCTAAGAGACCATAAAAATACTCTTGTTTAATTAACCCTTTAGCTGCCATTAAATCTACTCGTATAATATACACACACGTACAAGTACTTTGTAGTAAATAATATTCTGGCCACTTGCCGGTATCGGTGTGGTCATGCCTGTGACTTGTTTGTAAGGATGCTCGTGGTAATACAATCCCAGCCACCCACATTTGAATCCTGGTCATACATACCATTGCCGGCTGGTATCTAAACCTGGCTTGGGCCTCCCCTAGGTCAACTCGGCCTAAAATTAGTAGCAAGTGCAGTGTGCCTATATCAGTACCGAAAGGTTGCCAGTTTTGTACGGCTGACAACGCAACACCACTCCACTGTGTGGCATGCTGGCTGCCTTAATAGGTGCTCACAAACTTGTGAAAGTATAGGCACCCCCCCTCCTTTGTTATGGACATGGTGTAAGGGAGGCCCTCCTCCACCGTTGGAGTGACAAAGGGCCCTTACATTAGACAAACAGCACTTTCCGTCTCTAAGGTTAAAACATTTACAGCATATTTGTTTGCTGAACATTTGTCTTCCCCTATCCGATGTTTAAACAGAAATAAATACATTATGTTAAGGTGACCTTCCATAATAATACGTGTATTTTGCAAATACCTTTGAAGGTTTTTTATAGTTAAGAAATGTGAAAATGTACCATACAACTGCAATAAAATGGGAAATGTTAATTTGCTAAATTTAATATACGTATTAAATCAATGCGTGTAGTGTGTGGTACACAGCACGTACATAGCATATTTCCAATGTAATTAAGGTGCTATTTACATCAGCACAATATTGTATTTAATTCCGATAATCCGACATGTTCATTGACAGCCTCTCTTGCTGCTGCTGCTGTTGTTGTTCCAGGCTCAGATATGACGATCGCATCAAATGGAGCGTCACCTTCGTTGTAGCGAGAAAGGCCTTGAAAGGATTCCAGAAGATTTGAGCATACGACTTGAATTGAGCCACGTGGAGGCTTCACATGGCATAACCATGCCCGAGCGGTGTGTGACATCACAGTCATAATACACTTGGAATACCTGGATGACATCTCACTGACGTTTGCTTGGTGGTGACCACACAGTAGAGAAGGGTCCTGCCCAGCTGTGGTGAGCTCGCTCGCTCACTCACTCGATAGCTGCTCATCCGGCCGGGTTAGGCCTCGGCTTGAGTGAGTGCCCGGCGGCTCATTTGCTTCCCAGCGAAGACGGGCGACATTGCGAAATGACGTCTAGGGAAACGCACCGCCGCTTGTGATCGCTCACGTTTCGTATCTTCCCATCGCAGGCAATAACCAAAACACAATCGACGACAACAACAAAACTCGGCAGAGACGCCCAAATGTCTCCGTCAAAATCCACCAAGTAGCGCGAGACGACGCTATAGACTGATTTCCGTTTGACGTTTGGGGGGGATCGTGCCGGAAGCCCGTCCGGCGATTGATGCGGCTTCGCTCAACATTTGGAGGCCCCGACGTTGGGGCGAAGAGCGTGGAGGTCCACATGGCCAGGAGGTCGCGTGCCGGATGCCTCTGGACGGTTGAGAAGCCCTCGACCGCCATGCTGTGGACCTGCTTCCTCCTCCTGTCTACCTGCAGCAGCATCATGCCAGCAGCAGGTAAAGCCACCTAACGGATACCATTTTCGCGGGAGTCTTGGAAGGACCCTGTCTTGCACAACTGCTAATGAGGCTCACTAATTGGATATTTGAAAAGGTGTTTGATTAAAGAGCACCTTTAATGAACGTGAAATTAATTTAAATGAAAATTAAGTTGTCACACTTTCAAAGGTTCGGGCCTATGTATAGGCTCCCATTAGTTTGGTATAAATCACACAGACTATTAAAGTGCAATCCATAATAACAAAAGTCATAATATCAAAACCTGCCGTCTTGTTTTTGTCCCCCAATGTCTACCGGTCCTTTGGGGATGCCCGTGTAAGGGCCTGTAATTGCCAAGTGTTAAATAAAAAAAAAACTCATTAAGACAATTAAAAATAGTTGTCTCATATTTGCAATACTCATTATAAAACACAACAAATTCTTGTATTTGCTTAATTATGGGGAATTAAGCTTACACAAATGGTCATTAAAATGGTACTCTTCTTTGGTGAGGATTGGAGATATCTGATTTGGATCTTCTTACAAACTACGGTTTGATCTTTATATTCTTGGTTCTTTTGGTAAAGTCACGTAGAAGGAAAAACAATACAACAATAAAAATATAAAAAAATATGTTTTTATTATTTTATTATTTTATTGTTTTCCCTTCGACGTGACTTTACCGAAAGAACCAAGAATATGAATCCCTGCAGTCACGAAAGCTTCAAATCAAAAATTTACGGTTTGATCATCAAATAATTCCACCATAATATTGTTTTAAAAAAGTTTTTCCCCAAAAATTACTTCAATCAACTTTACCATACCAATATGACATGATATGCAAAAATATATATTGCGCGCCTAACTCAGATAACGTTTCCAATCATTTTAAACCTGGCCATGCTGTAGAAGATTAACTAGCTATCAAATGGACCATAAAAATATTCCTATTAATAGGATCTGTTCAAGCACACACACACACACGCAAGTTACCACAATGTCTAAAAGGTTTAAACCGGGTTGTTTCTGTGTTGTTGTTGGGCGCGATGGCGATGAGGCTAGCCCGGTGCTCTTCACTAATATTTACAGGGGGGCCACTTTCGCCAATAAGTCATCGCAGTGTGAGGGCCGCCACACATTTGAAACCATTGTTGCGTTTGACAGCAGCACGACGATGATGGTAAGGGGTATTTTCACTCTCTGTGTATTGTCGGGGTGGGGGGGGGGTGCCAGTGGCCCGCGGGTCTTGCAATGAAGAACAGTGGGCTATATAATCGAGGGAGGATGCGAGCTGCCTCAATTCAGAAGCGAAACGTCGGACATCGCTTTGTTCGACGCGCAACGGTACAACCCGAAAAAAAAACGCCGAAGAGCCGTAGAGCGGCACAACCGAACGAACATCCGCTGTTGTATTTGTGTGTCTGAACATGAGAACAGTGGGTGTGTGTCTGAAAGTGAGAACAGTGTGGCCGTGACTATTGTGGAGAAGAGTAGCCCCAAGTATTGTCATGTGATGCTGAATCTTAGGGGCCAGTGGCTGTACGGGCCAGCCCAGATGAGCATTTAAGTCACAACAATTGCGAGCCCGCGTCGTCCTGGAGAGCAGCATTTATGGCCGCGTGAGAATTTGACGCGTGGAATTGTGTAGCCATTGTGTGCAAATGTGGGCTGCTTCAATGTATGTGTGTGCACGCACGCGCGGGTGTGTGCCATTTTTGTTGTCAGTTGGAAACGTATTCACCCAGCCACTGCGTTCTGTGGGCGCTGCTACAGCGCCGTGCTCGCACGCTGCACTTGCAAAGCGGAGGTCGCCGGCTAGATCTCCGGGCAACGGAAAATTGACACAATGGGGGCAAGTTTCTTGCCTTACCCTCCACTGCCCCGCGCATGGCTCTGTCAACCCAGCGGTGTAATTGGGCACACCGCAGTCAATCGATCAGTCAGGTCCACGCGTGGTGGGGTTACAAATCTGCGTCCGGCGTGGAAGAGCCAAATACCCTCGAGAGGGGGATCCCTTGAGCTTTCTGGAGTGGAGGCCCTTCCACGAGCAGTGGTGTGAGCTGGCAAATGCAGAGCCGCAACTTTACCCTGACTACCGTTGCGCATGGTGTGTACGGAAGCGCGAGGTGCGTGTGTTGGCTCCTGTCCACTCTGCGTTTGATGAGTCTCGTGAGACATGCAACACAGTGCCATTGGAAAATATTTTTTCCCCCCTCGATCTTTAACTATTTTTGGACTCTCTCTTCCTCGAACACGTAAAAAGTATCCCGCTAATGATGTCACTATGCGCATTGTAAATCTTCGGCGAATGCCACGGGTTGGGTCTTCTTGCTCTGACAGCAACCGAGGATTGTGGCCCAAAACTGCCAGGTCTGTTCGCCGGAATGTTATGTCGGGCCATCATTTTTGCGGACGGTGCGAACGCACAACGCGTCGCTTCCCTTCTCAGCCCAGGAAAAGAATTGTATGTTGTCGGAAAGTGCAGTTTACCCGCAAAATGAATGAATATAAAAACACTAATCAGTCCTTCAGCTGCTAAAGAATGCATTCTCAAGTAGTGAATCATGTCCCTCAATCCCTCGTGGTTTGGAAGCCCCCCAATCAAAGCCACTGGTTCCTGTGGCCACAGTGCAGGGCGAGATCACGTGTCCACACCTCTTGGCCATGTGGTGTTAGTGAGGCATCCTACTGCTACTCCCTGCCAGGCCTACCCCAATCACTACCCCTATCGCTACCCCAATCACTACCCCTATCACTATCCCTATCACTATCCAAACCCACTCCCACCTATTCTCCCGTCACCATAACTACACCACCACTTTGAATAATAACCCCACGCGTTATTTCATGATTGTTGTAATGCTCCCTTGAATACATCGCTTTATAAATCTATTACAAAACAAGATTGAGTGTTTCACAGCTGAAATGAAGAATACTTTAGTACGTCTGTTTAATTTTCTTTCTCAGCGTACGTAGTCAACTGTGCTCATTGGAGGTGCGGATATTTCACAGTACTGTAGAAGGGCAAGAAATACATATAGATGCATTGTCTTGAGTGCTGCATTATGGGTTATTATTATTATTACACAAGTGACAAAAGACTGGGATATTTGCTTGTCCCGGAACAACTGACAAGAGTTCCCAAGACAGCACTCTCTCCTCAACAAAGGGAGGAGAATCCTGGGAAAAAAGCAGAACATGTGGCAACTGGAATAGCGACTGGCGAGAGTCTGGCCATGCCTAGCCCGGTGTGAACGCTCGTGCGTGTACACGGTGAGTGCCGTGTCTAGCCCGGAGTGAACGCTTGTGCGTGCACATGGTGAGTGCCACACGCGGAGGGACAGAGTCCACGGATCGTTGACTCCTGAGTTTAATAGCGGCCGTATTGCAGTGCGATGTTTTACTTGACTGAAGTTGCAGCTCCGATATTTATCAAGCATGTGGGTGAGGACCGAGGCAAAGAGGTATCACTTCACCCCCTGGCAACTCCCGCACGGGGGAGCGGGGGGGGTAGGCGAGCCATATGGTTCAGTGGGGGGCTCATCTTATCCTCATAGATATTGGGGCACTATTTGTAGATCCCAGTATCCGTGTTTGTCTGTTAAAATAAGAAAATAACTTCCGGGTAAACTCCCCTTATCTGCGAAATGGGCCACGGAGAGTGAGAAATGTCTATCCCTTTCAGCCGACTGATAGCCGTGAATAATGGGGTGAAATTGCCTCGCAACCCTCCTCTTATCCACAAACACTCGGGGGATAACAGGAGATGGTGGTGGCACCTCGCATTAGCCATGGATAAGTGTGCGTATCCTATGGAGTAATAATAATATAATGTACAGTTGTTTGTCAATCCACTGCTGGATGAAGGTTTCCCTGTGTCATTTTGTTCACGGGGGTTGTTTGACCATACTTCACCACGCTGGTCAGTGTGGAATGGGGCGGGGGAGGCGAGATCGGTTGAAATATCGCTTGCCACTGATGTTAGCCGTAGCCGGGAATCCGACTTGTAGCGCAGCATGCTTACCACTGCTCCACCCCGAGTGTGCATCGCAAGAGGTTGTCAGCCACACTGCTCCACGTATATCTGGGAATTATCGTTGGATAATAGGAGGAATTTGTCTGCGGATAATAGGCGCTTCAACAAACGACATTCCGGCTGAGTTTAATATGAGTTGTGGACAGCAGAAGGGTGGACAAGATACATTTCCTTTGGCTACTCGACACAGGGCACAGCAGTTAACATCTTGGCCAAGTTTCTTACGTCCCCCCCTCCCCCCACCAGCAACCCATGTCCACCCAGCAGTCTAAATGGGTGGGCCGGAGTTTTATAATCGAGCGGCAGGTCGTGCAGGTCCTGTCAGGGTGTGCGTCCTCCCACCTCTCTTCCAATGCCTGGTCAGCATTGGAAGAGTAGGCCAAACACACTCGGGCGGTTCTCAAAAGCTCCCTGTGGCAGAGCAGGGCTGCCGGCGTTACACGGCTCGACTTTAGTTTTTGCTTTACTCAACTTGGCTCCGGAAGCTGTTTGACCCCCCACGAAACTCTCCACTCTGCTCTTGTCCTCTTGTACTGTTTTTAATTTCTCAGGCTGCATTGGCGAATTCGCATTGAGTTTCCCTGACTGAGCCTTCACAGGGGGGACCAGGAGGTCGCTCTCAGAGCAAGCGATGACAGAGCCGATCAATCTGTCCCGCACGCTCAGAGGTCATCTGTGGTTTCTGTCACGGGCGCTGCGGAGTTGAAATCGTAATATATCGAGCTTTTTCCGTTTCCCACTTGTGTGTGTAATGGTTTGATTTATAAAGCGTAATGAGCATAATGCAAAAAAAATCAAATTCTGCGGTAACTTTGCTCTCAGCCAAGCAATTACAGCACAGTGTTGGTAATAGGTGGTAATGATTATTCTACCTGTAACGGGCAGTGTAGCCCGGTGAATTTAATTTTAATCTGCATAAGTTTAAATGAATCTGTATTTTATTAAGGGCAGTAATGTCGATACAGCATATAAGTGACATTTA